ATCACTGCCCAGCCTGGCTCACTTGCCCCCTTTCCTCTCCAGGAGATCTTGGGGGCCCTTGGAGTCCCGCTCCAAGTCCTGTTTCCAGGGGAACCCCATTTTCTTCTCTGGCAGAGATCAATCTCTAGGGAATTCCTCTCTATTGAAGCTTCAAGTGCCATTTTAAAAGCAGCGCTGTCATCTTCCCTAATGGGTGTTTTCCTTGGAGTCTCTGCTGAGAGTCGGGTGAGGAGAGAGGCGGCCCAAAATGCTTTCTCCTTCTGGACTGGGGTGTATCTAAAATTCAGCCAGAGGGATTTTTTAACATGTTTGGGGGGTCAGTACATTGAAGAGGAGGTAGAGCCCTTTCTTAAAAGAGGATTCTCTCACACCTGGGTGTTTACCCAGAATATTCTGCAAGAAAGTCGTTAGGAGAAATTTTCCTTTTGTCTGAAGACTAGAGGTGTTAAGAATTAGAGCAGGGGTGCCTGGGTGGCTCAGTCATTAAGCGTCTGTCTTTGGCTCAGGTAGTGATCCCAGTGTCCTGGGATCGAGCCCCGCCCCCGGGTTGGGTTCCCTGCTTCTCCCTCTCCCACTCCCCCTGTTTGTGTTCCCTCTCTTGCTGGCTGTCTCTCTCTCTCTGTCAAAATGAATGAATAAAATCTTTAAAAAAAAAAAAAAAGAATTAGAGCAGAAGGGGAAAATGCAGGAATTCTCTTGGAACAAGGATGGATTATACATTGTAAGATTGTTACTGAATTTAGGGGATGTAGCAGGAACCCAGTCTTATTCAGTTCAATATCTACCCCATTGCCTTGTACACGGTGGGACTTTTATAAATACTTGTGAAGTAAACCTCATCTTTATTTGATTTTCATAGTGCTTGAGGACGTTAGATGAAGTAAAAATATAATGGGCCTTGGATTACACATACCTGCATTTAGGTCCCAGCTCTGCCTAGCTGTGTGACCTTGGGCAAGTTACTTAACCTCTCTGATTCTCAGTTTCTTCACTTGGAAAATGGGTAGTAACTCACGGGGGTTTTGTGAGAATCGAATGAGATAATGATCCACTTGATCTAGTGAGCATTCAGAAGGGGCTCAGTAAATGTTAGTTTTCTTTCTTCCTTCATCAGTGGTTCTCAACTCCAACTGCGCATTAGGATCACCTAGGAAACGGAGAGAACAGTTGTTCAGGCCACACCCATTGAGATTGGGTTTCATTGGTCTGTGATGGGGCTGTGAGCATGGGTATTTTTAAAAAGCTCCTGTTAAAGGATACATTTTTTTAAAAGGTAAAATCATGAATCCCCATACAAATATAAAATGAACACATGGTAAAGATTTATTTAACTTGTTAATTAAATGAAGGAACCAGTAAGATGTTAGAGCTGGTTCAGATGACTCAACGCACATTCTGTTGACCCTTGAACAACACAGGTTTGAACAGCACAGGTCCACTTACACACAGATTTTTTTCAGTAAATACAGTACAGTCTGCTCAATATATTTTCTCTTCTTTATGACTTTCTTAATAACATATTCTTTCTTCTGGTTTACTTTATTGTAAGAATACAGTATGCCATACATATAATGTACAAAATATTTTTTAATCAACTTTTTGTTGTCGGTAAGTCTTCCAGTCAACAGTAGGGTGGCTATTAGTTAAGTTTTGGGGGAGTCAAAAGTTATACCTGGATTTTCAACGATGTGTGGAGGTCCGCTCCCCTAACTCCTGCATTGTTCAAGGGTCAGCTGTACGTAGGCAATCAGGAATGCTGAAATTAATTTATAAATAGATGCAAAACTGGTCAGTATCGACAAGATAATAATCAAATAATTGCATTCCACTGAGCCAAAAGTATTTACATATTTACGGATAAAAATCATTTGCATTACCCTGTGCTTTCTACAATTTCCGAAGTTGTGAAATAGCTCAACCATAATGAAAGGTGCAGATCTCTACGAAGTCAGATGCCTGGACTAGTATGTGAAACGGAACCCCCAGTAATCTGCTTTTGTGTCAATTTCAATCTCTTTCACATTCCCCCCCGGGCTTCTGGTGTGCAGCCAGGGGAGACCCTGTCCTAGAGGTTTGTATATAGTGCTGTGGTCACACTGTATTGTAGCAATCGATTATGAGTTGTCCCACCTATGACAGAGAAGTCCTTAGGTAAAGGGTTCATGTTCTATTTGTATTTGTAGCTCAGCACCCAGCACGTTGCCTGGCCTATAATAAGTGCTGAAAAACTGTTTGTTCAATCAGTAATTGAGTTGGATGATACCTCTAAGAAGTAAGCAGGACACGTCGTATTCTCCCATCTTCTGATGAGGAAATTGAAGCTTTCTCCAATCAAGTCCCACAATTAGCTTGTGATAAGCTTGCGACTCAAACCCACTCATCCCTTTCCTCATTCAACCTTACTTCATTCAACCGTTTCTGAGTCCCCACTGCGTACCAGTCACCAGGAGCAGTGACCAGTCTTTGCCCTCGCTAGGGACCTCACATGGAGCACCATGTGGCTTAGAGGGCATGGGCCAGAATGCCTAGGTTGTGACTTGTCCTCAGCAATGATTAGTTGTGTAACCCTAGACAGATGACTTAGCTGTTCTGCGCCTTTGTTTTCCTATCTGTAAAATGGGGAAGCCTACCATAAAAGGATGAAATAGGGTAAATACAGTGCAAAATGTGTTGCACAGTTCCTCATGCTTATAATCATCTGCAACCACGAGCCTGCGAATCTGTTAAACAGTGGCAGGTCCTGGGCTGCAAAAATGAGGAGAGCTCGGATCCTCTGCTGTTCAAGAAGCTCTATCTAGTGGGGTGGGAAGAGCCTCGGATCATTGTCAGAGGACAGGGTAAGTGCAGCCGTAGGGGTGCTGGGTGGATTGTGGGAGCACAGGGGAGGGGTTGGGAGTCAGAGAGTAGGACTTCCGGGGAGCCAGGTCTTCAAGCATTAGCAGTGTTCCCACTTAGGGGACCCACTAGGAGGTCACTGCAAGGGTTGAGATCAGAAAATGGGGAGCCCTGACCCAGCCCACAGCGGAGGAAGTGGGGGTATGGGGATAGGAGAGAGACTCGGCTGGAGGAACTGATAGGGAGTGAGGGCAAGACGGTGCCAAAGCACGTGCTTTCAGATGAGCCCACACTGCCTTGGGTGGGAGGTTCTCTTTGCAGCTTTCTAACTTAATTCAGAGTACAAGTGAGTGCTGGGCTACATCCCAGAGAAGAAGGCCTTGCCCACCCCATAGGAGAGGGGCCCGTGCACTGGCATTTTTCTGGGCTGCAGAGCCCCATTAAGGAGGACTAGTACTCAGGATTAATTTTTTATTTTGGCAATTACTGCCCAAGTTGAAAAAACATGTTTATGTATTCAGAAATATTCACAATTTATTTAAAATATTTATCATGCACCTGTCTGTCTTATTCACTTTGTAGAGTTGGTATCATGTCTTCCCTTCATGAAGCATAGAGCGCATTGCTTTTACACTCGATCTTTTAGCCCCATGTCCCTTTTTTGAAACAAAATCTTACCAGAAATGTCCAGTGTATTGAATAGATGTAAGGGAAAAAAAAACACAAAAAAACAGATGTAAGAGAGAGCTGTTTTGATGGGACTAATGGCCAGGAACCATGTCCCCACTGCCCTCCTCCACAGCACAGGGAGACCCTGAGATGCTCAGAGCCCTGTGGACTACAGTCAAGCCCAGTGGTTGTCCAAAGGGAGGTCCCCGCACCAGCAGCACATTTTTGAGAAATGCCGATTCTCAGGCCTCACCCTAAATCTATTGAATCAGAACGTCTGGGAGTGAGACCTACAATCGGTATTTTAACAAACCCTCCAAGTGATTCTGATGCCTAGAACTAGGTGTGACTTGCCTTAAATCATTTGGGGAGTTTAATGGGATTCAACTATTGAGCGCCTAATGTGTGTAAAATTCTAGAGTATCTGCTGCAGGGGATACCAAGAAAGTTAAGTCCATGTATTAGTTATCTGTTGCTGTGCAACAAATTTAGCCCAGAGTTGAGCAACTTAAACAACAGGGTCATGAATCTGGGTGCAGTTTTGTGGGATCCTCGACCTCGGGGTCTCCCATAGGGCTACCTACGGTCAAGGTGTTGGCCAGGGCCTCAGTCATCTCGAGCTTCTGGTGGGGCAGGGTCCACTTGTAAGTTCTCTCAGTAGTTGTTGATAAAATTCAGATTCTTACAGGCGGGTTGGCTGACAGCCTGGCTCCTCACTGGCTCTCCTCCTCCTGGCCCAAGGCTGCCTTTAGTTCCTTGCCACACGGGCCTCTCCATAGCCCAGCTGGCTTCCTCGAAGTGAGCAAGCAAAAGAGAGCGAGAGAGGGTCCCCAAGACAGAAGTCATGGTAGTTTATAACACAATTTGGGGAGTGGCTTGTGCTCTATTCTGTTCCTTAGTAGTGAGTCATGAAGTCTAGCCCACCTTCAAGGGGAGGGGATTATGCATGGGCAGGAGGTGGGGGCCTTAAAAGATCCCACAATCCCTTCTTCTGCCCTTTCATTTATAATTGTCGCATCAGATAAGTACACACCTAACTATGGAATCAGTCAGAGAAGGACGGTGGTCATAGGGGGGAGCACAAGTTCAGTGGTGGTTCAGAGGGAAGTAAAACTCTCTGGGTGGAAGAATCGGGAAGGCTTCTTGGAGGAGGCAGCATTAACAAAGGATTTTGAAGAAATGGAGGAATGCCACAAGCAGAAAGGGGAAGGCCAAAGTGAAGGGTCTGCTCAAGTATTCAGGTATCAAAACCTTACAACTTGGGTGGAGCCTAGATAGAGGTAGGGAGAATAAAGCTGAGGATGGAGTTAGAGCCCTAGCGGGGATGGTTTCCATTGTTAGATGGGGGAGCTCTCAGCCTGACAGGGGGTAGGGGACAGGGACCAGAAGCATGGCTTCCATTACTACTGGGGCCTGTACTGAGGGGCTCTGAGCCCAGTGCTCTCCCCTACCCCACCAGCCTGGCCCTGAGGTCCACACCCCATTTTCTCTTGTAGTTCGGACGCACCGAAGTCATTGACAACACACTCAATCCCGACTTTGTGCGCAAATTCATTGTGGATTATTTCTTTGAGGAGAAGCAGAACCTCCGTTTCGACCTGTAAGTGGCAGCTGGTACTGGGGATGGGGCTGAGGAACCATAGATGGGAGGGGGGACTGTAGGACCTGGGGTTGGTAGTAGTTTCTCTTACCAAGGAAGGGGAGGGGTGCCGTGACATTAGAGGGAGCTCAGGTTTGGCCTGGGATAAAAATGACAATTAGCTGAAGTCCAGCCCCACCCTCATCAGGAGATGGAAAAGAGGTGGGGAGAGGGAATAGAGGCTCCCCACCATTTGTCTCCATTAAGTGTGGGAGGGCACTGAGCAAGCCACCTGACTCTGGGGGCTAGGTCTTGGGGGCTACCAGGGAGCCTTTTTCTCCCCAGGTGAAGGGGAGGTCCCCATTGACTTCTCTCTCTGTCAGAGCTTATTCTGGGAGAGGATGCCCTCCAGGTTCCCTTCTTGCAGAGGTAACCTGACTGATGGGGCCCAGGGCATGTGCGTGTGTCTCACAAAGGTGCGGAGTGCCCCTCCACTGAGGTTAAAGATGATGATGGGATTTCAGTCTGGTGAGCAGGTGGGGGAACCTTGTTTTGTTGTTTTTCCAAGGCATGGGATGGTTAGAAAGCACTGTATCCCAGAGAATTGTGGACAGAGTGGGCCAAAAGGGGGTTGGGGGCTTGCAGGAGCAGAGGAAAAAATGCAGTGGAAGGACATGACTTTGGAGGGACCGATGGAGGACTTGCAGCCCATTGTAGAGAAGTCACCATTTTGGGACATTTTGGAGAGAGAAAGTGCTAGAGCAGGGGTAGAGTAAAAGTGACTGCCCCTCAGCAGGAGGCATTTGGGCCTGGATGGCCAGTTGGGGTGGGGTGGAGAGGGTGATGCTGGACAAAGGGCTGCAGGTGCAGCTCCAGGTGCTCAGGCTCCAGGTAAAGGGAGGGGCCCAGGTGCAGGTAGAGTGACGTTCTTGAGTGACGAGGCCCAAGGTCAGTCTGGGCAGGCCTGGGCAAGGTGAAACCATCAGGGAAGGTCAAAGGCAAGGTATTGAGCTCCAAGGGTACCTCGCCTTAGCTGGGAAGATGGGAGAACAGGCAGTGAAGGGCAAGGTGGCTCAGCCACCTGATAACCAGCCAGGGTTGCCGAGCAAGTTTATTTTATTTTTTCGGTCTTTAATGAGCTATAACATATACATGGTGAAGTACACAAATCTTCAGAGTCCATCCCATGATGCATTTTTATATCTGTTTACCCTCATGTAACCATCACCCGGATCAAGAGACAGAATATGTCCGGCACCCCACAAGGCTCCCATGGTGGGCCTCCCAGCCGTTACTCCCAGAAATATCCTACTGTGTCAGAGCCTGTATTTTGGGGTGTAGGGGTCCTGACTCAGCTCAAGGACCCCAGCAGTTCTGGGCAGGATGCCGCAGCTGTCTTTACCATCTCTGTGTGTTCCCTGCAGATACGACGTTGATTCGAAGAGCCCTGATTTATCCAAACACGTGAGTTCTGCCATGACTGCCCAGAGATTCTGAAACTCTCTTCAAATGGCAGAGTCTGGGTCAGCCTCAGGCTTCACTGTGACACAGACCGTGTGTCTGATGCTGCTTCTGGTCATTTCTGAGCCCGCCCACTTCTAGCCATGGGGTGATGGGAGAGGTGGGGTGGCTGTGGGCAGAGTGGGGGACACTGATGTTTTCTGTACCTTGGGCGTGCAGGATTTCCTGGGCCAGGCCTTCTGCACCCTCGGAGAGATCGTGGGGTCCCCTGGGAGCCGCCTGGAGAAGCCCCTCACGTAAGTATAGACGGGAGTGGAGCCTGTCTGGGTTGCTTCCCCAGGGATGGGCCAACCTCCTGCCCACCCTTAGCTCAGGGTAGGGGAGGAGCAATCCACCGCGCATGCGGGGTGATTAGGAATAAGGAGACCCCGTGGGCCCTGCCTTTGCAGGGCCGCTAACCCAGTTAACTTGGAGGGACCCAGGTTTAGTTATTAGAGCCTCACGTTCCTGGGACAGCCAGGGGCACTATCTAGCCCACCCCTACCTCCCACCCTTGCCAATGTATAGGGGAAGGAATCGAAGCCCAAAGAGGGGAAAGTGACTTGCCCAAGGCCACACGGCTAAGAAGTGGGAGAGCTGGGATTTGAATTCAGCGTTCTCCTCACATAGCATATCCTTCAGATTGTTCACCCCTTGCTGTAGGTCAGAGGTGGGTATGGTGAGGCGCCCCTCATCTCACCCTGCCCCTCCGACCATCTGCATTATAGGGCTGTAAGTGCTTTTAGGGGAAAGCTATTCCTCTGGGCAGGCTCCGGGATGAGGAATCCCAAGGCTTCTTACAGTGGAGCCTGCGGGCGGCTGTAGGCACCGGCCAGGCCTGGCTGGGTAGCAGGGGTGCCCTCTCTTGTCCCTATTTCTCAGGGAGCCCCAGGGGCAGAACCCAGACAAGAGGAGCCTGCAGACTGGGATAAGTGCCCCGGCCACGTGGCAGGGTGGGCGGGAAGGGGAGAGCAGGCCAGGCTGGGCCTCAGCCCCGTGCTTGCTTCTGCCAAATTCACACTGGATGCTGTCCCTCACCATGATGGAGAAGTGCTGAATGTGTTACTGTCGGGGAGGGGGGTCTCTCTCCCAGGCCCTTGTCTCTGACCCCCACTAACTGTATGGTAACTTCTGAGCCCCCAGAGGGGCTTCTCTGTCCCTGAAAAGGTCTCCTTCTCTGGGTTCACAGAGAATAATGATATAAACTATCATTTATTGAAAATAGGGAACAAACCCAGGTTTGGAGGGCTCTGACATTTATGGAATTTGGGGTCCTCAGAGTGAGTGTGTGTGTCTGCTCCTCTCAGCTCCCAACTGCCCGGGTCAAAAGCCTGCTTGTCATTTGGGTCTCTTTCCTCCCTGCTGTCACCCGGCCCACCTTTGGGGGACAGGCACACCTGCTTGGGGGGTGGATTGAGGAAGACCTCCGCAGGAGACGGCTGGGGAGGCGAGCCTTGGGGAAGGCAAGCGGGATCTTGGAGACAATGGGTTGGTGAAGGAGGGGGACCTGTTTCCCCCACCGAAAATGTCACGTGTCTCAGTCTCCCGGCTGGCCGCGTGCACAACAGTTCCCTTTCACTGGGCGTCTCTTCTGGGCCAGACCGCCATCGGCTTCTCTGATCTCATGGGATTCTCTCAGCAGTCTCCCCATTTCACAGTCCAGCCACGGAGGCTTGCAGAGGTAGAGCACGGTTCTCAAAGCGCAGCAGCCTTCGGCGTCATTGGAGGGCTTGTTAAAGCACAGATTACTGGGCTCAAACCACCCGCCCCTTAGTCTGGTGTGGGGCCTGCGATCTTACATTTCTAACACATTCCTAGGGATGCTGACGGTGCACACTTTGAGAACCCCTGAGGTAGAGTCACCCAGCACTTCACAGCAAGGTTTGGAAGACCTCTCCTTCCTCTGGCCTGTAGCTCTTGGTCCTGTTTTGATGTTTGATCCAGAATAGATACCTGTCTCCAAGAATTCCGATGCCAAGTGCTATGGCCTCTCAGGACGGGGGTGCTTGACTCAGGGCACGCTCTCTCTGCCTCTCTCTCTACAGGATAGGAGCATTCAGCCTGAATTCCAGGACAGGCAAACCCATGCCAGCGGTATCCAATGGGTAGGTCAGCAGACATCTCTGGCCCTGGAGTCCTCAGACATCCAGCCGGCTCTGCAGAGGGGGCTTCAGAGTCTAGGCCCGGTCTCTGCTCCCACCGCTGCGCCTTCAGCCCTGGTTGGTTGGGGGGGCGGGGGAGAGAGGGCCACTCTGCAGCCGGCCCCTCCCCCACCTGGCTGGAGCTCCAGCATCCCCAACCCCAGTGGCTCATGGGACTTCGGGGAGCAGGGTGGGGAGCAGAGGTGGGGGCTGCTTCCAGTGGTCAGCAGGGGCTGGACACTTGCCCTTCCTCTCTCCCTGGCCTGGTTTCTTCTGCCTCCTACCCCTTGCCTTTCTCCCCTCCCTCTTTCCCTCCCTTCTGTTTATCTCCTTATCCCACTTCCCCTCTACTGCTTGCACTGCTGGATGTCAGCCTCCTCGTGGAGTAGATTCTGCTCAATCCTCACTTTTTGTATTTGCTCACCGGCTGTGCTGGGGCAGCCTCACTCCCCTGGCCTCCACCCTGACCGTCTGCTTTTGGCCAGCTTCATGCAACTATATGCAACTATATGCAACAAAGACAGCGCCCCCCCCCCCCCCACTCATTTCCTCTCCTCCTCTCCTGGTTGGAGAGAGGGCCTTCACCTGAGGGTGTGGGGTGGGGCAGGTTAGGGAATATCTACCACCCTGGTGACCAGCCTGGAGGTGCGTCACACTGATGAACATTTTGGCTGAGTAAGCAAACCTCCCCCGGCCTTGCTGAGAGCTCCTAGGAGCTGGGGTCCCAGCAGCTGGACTGGCTACTGGAGCTGCTGGATATGGGAAAGGGGCCTCTAGGGGCCCTGGGTGCTCACAGCCCAGGCAGGGTGTGGATGCTGATTTACACCGAGAGTATGGAAGCAGCAGTCAGATAGGGAGCTGGAGTCAGGGGGAGAAGCAGAGAGTGAGGGCCAGAAAGGCAAAGGGAGAGAAAAAGGAAGGCCCTGAGCAGGTGGGAGCCGGTTCAGTCTGGAGGGGAGGGAAGGGAAGATGGGAAATCAAAGAAGGGCCCAGAGGCAGAAGGAGGAACAGATGGAGAAACACGGGCGGAGGAGGCTGGTGTGAGGATCCTGTCTCTTGGTCAAACAAATCATATCTTTACACCCAGGGGGGGCCAGACCAGGGCTGGGGCACCCTGCTCAGCTGCCCACGTCTAGGGGCGCAAGCTGGCAGGGGAACCTCCAGATGTAGCCCCTGCTCTACTCTCCTGATGTGGCGAGACCTGGGCTGTCTCAGCCTCTGGGGCCGGCTCCCCTGCCTCCTCTACTTGAGAGCCTCTCCCTCCAAAAGCTGGCACTGGGGAGAGCTCCATCAGTGGTTCTCAAAGTGTGTTCTGCAGACAGCATGCTGGGAGCCTCGAGGCTGGCCTGAGGTGTGGGGCTGGATTTTAGCAGCTTGGTGAAATTGCGAAGGAAAGGCGGGGAGGGAAATGGTGCTCCTTGGGGGCCTTTTTTGTGCCATGCGCTGTGTGTGCACATCCTGACTAATGGAACCTACAAACACACTCATTCTATGGGTGAGGAAACCGGGGCTCAGAGGGGTACAATCATGAGTCCAAAGTTAAGCAGCTGCTGGACAACATGACATTTTTTTCTCTTTCCCAGTGGCCCCTGGCCGCACTGGGGACCCCCAACTCCGGGTTCATCCCAAACACTGGAGTGGGATGGGCTGCTGCTTGGGGGAGGGTGCCCTCCTGATCCAGGGAAGAGGTGGTCCAGATCCTCTGGGAGAAGCCCCACCTTGGGAACTTGACCTCCTGAGGGGTTCTTGGGTGGGCCGACTTCATGTCCTGGTTGTCCACCTCACTGAGGAGCTGCATGAATGGCCAGGATCTCTCTTCTCTGGAGAGACCCCAGCCAAGGAGTTTAAGGGGAGGTAGCCGTGGGAGAGAGCCTGGACAAGCTGCCACCAGGAGGATACCAGCCCTTCTGCTTAACTCCCTCCTGCGGCTTGCTCTCCCACCCATGATAAATCAGAGCGACTCAGAGCTGAAATGTTCCAGGACTCTGGGGGTCAGCTGGGTGCAGGGTGGGGTGGCTGGCCCACGAGGTCTTTTGCCCACAGAAGTGGTCTTTGGATGGAAAGTTTGAGAACCACTGGTCTGGAAGCCTCCGGGTGAGTCTGGATGCTTTTCCGCTTCTAGGACTTTCATTGCAGACACTACCCTTCCTGGCGGGCTCTTGGGGAGCAGGGGGCGGGGCAGCTCCAGGCCTGGGGGGCCTGGCCCAGGAAGCAGTGCCCTAGGCCACACTGCCACAAGTATTTCAGGAGACTCTGTCTTCTCAGGGGCTCTGGGCAGATCTGCTGGATGGGGAGGGGGGGAGGATGAGGAGGGCCGATTCAGGGAGTGTGCAGGTTTTGTGTCTGTCTTTGTCTGGCTCTCCATTCTTTCATCTTCTCCTCTCCCAGTGGTGTCCCAGGGAAGAAATGTGGCACCATCATCCTGTCCGCCGAGGAGCTGAGCAACTGTAGGGTGAGTGGCAGGGAGACACTAGGACAGGACCTGGTGGGGGTGGGGGTGGAGCAGTGACAGAGGGCAGGTTGCTGTCCCTGTGTCCCCCAGGGCCATGTGCGTCCTTGGAGGGAATCTGGGGGAAGACAGGGCTCCCCAGTTTCACCTGGCTGTCCTAGAATTCTGTAACATCAGAGCCAGAATGTTGTCTCCTTTTACAGCCGAGCCGACTGAGACTCAGAAGGGACGGAACACGCCCACAATGAGCAGCAGAGCCGGCTGGACCCTGGTCCCCTGCCTTCCAGGCTAGGGCTCCTCCATTCCCTGTCATGGTCCCCTCTCCCCAAACCAAGACTGCTTTGGCTCCAGCCCTGGCAGCAGAGGGGCTTTTTCAGTCGTGAGCCTGGGTGCTTGGCAGTTAGTTGTCATGTTTCACTTTTAGCTCGGGAGTAGGGTGACACCCTGCATGGGATTGAGGGAGTGAGGACGCGTGGTTGGGGAGTGCGTGTTGCGAAGCCAGAGGATGCAATCCCACGCAGCCCTTGGTTTTGCTTTTTCTGTGGGACTGTGGAGAAGCAGGACATGGGGACAGCGGGAAGGGTAGCTGAGCACACCGAGGAGGGGCTCGGGGGACCCGATGGCTAATAATAACGATGAAACACAGTAATGATGATAGTTATTATTTGTCGAGGGGTGGGCATTTTGGGTAAGTTGTCACTACTCCCGACAATAATCCGAAGAGGTAGGTACTGTTGTTATTCCCATTTTATGAATAAGGAAATTGAGGCTCAGAGAAGCTAAGCCATCTGTTCAAAGACAATAAGTCGTAGAGTCATGGTTCTAAACCAGGTCAACCCGATTCTAAAACCTTCTAAAATCGGGGCTCATGCCCAGGCCTGCATGCCTCTTAGGTTAATTAGGAGCCACAGGTAGGAGTGGGTGGGTCCTGGGGAGAGAAGGACGAGGTAGCCAGAGTATGAACACAGGACCAAGCCTAGGGTAGCCTGGGAACCCACATTCACATGGGGCTCAGGTAAGAGGGCCTAGGAGGGAGGAGGAGAAACAAGATTTTCTGACCTTCCTGGGAAGTCAGTGCAACTGTGGTTATTTGTTAGCTATAAATACTTGCCATATTAGAAAATAAAGTCAATAAATTAAAAATACATATATTAATTCATTAAAAAATGACAACAGTTTAACCCATTATAGGATAACATAAATAACACCTTTTTTGAAAAATAACTGTATTTTCCAAAACAAATGTCATTTATTTAGTGAGAAGAGTGGCCTTGTTTTGCAAGGCCTTGTTTTTGTAAATTTCTTTAATGTCAAGCTGAACAGAAGAGTCTCATATCTGCTTCTGCAGTCAATCTGTTGTGATATCACTGTTGGGTAACTTCTAGAAAACTCCATGTCTTATTGACATTATTATGAAAATAGCTTTGGCCTCACGGACCACCCCTTGAGGGTCCCTGGTCCATGCTTTGAGAACTGCTGCTATGGGGGTATAAATTGTTAGCCAAGATTGATTGAGCAATTATGCTGAGCCGCACATTGTGCTTAAGGGTTTACACGCGTTGACTGATTTATCTGTATTATTATAATATATGATGTAAGACTGTAGGTAGTATGAGGTATTATCGTTATCTGCTATCTTACGGTTTTTATTTTACGGGGAGGTTAAATGACCTGCCCAAGGTCACATAGCCCCTGGGTAGAAGAGATTTGAACCCAGGCAGTCTGGTTCTAGTGCCAGGGTCTTTCACTGCCAGGCGGTGGGGTCCCCAACTCAGGGGCTTCCAGTGGGAGAATAAGACACAGAATTGCAGTATAGCGATGACCGCATCAGCTTATACACAAGTACTCATTCTTCTGGCTTCTCTGTCTGTTTACCTAGGTGGGTCTGGAGGAACTTGACAGCAGGGCTACACCCGAGGGCTTGGTGTGCTGTAGGCGCTCGGGGAGCTCTCTCGGGAATCTGTGACTGAATGATTGACCAAATGTTTAGCAGCAGCAGATGATGATGGAAACTCTTACAAGTGTATATGTTGACCATCTGGAAGTTCCTGGGGTTCAGACAAGGGAGAGGGAACCCAGCTGACATTATAGTAGAGCTATTTAAGCTCCCTGAGCCTCAGTTTCTCCACCTGTACGTTGGGGCTGATAGGGGTGCCTGTGGTGAGGATTGAAGGAGTTCGTGGAGGTGGCTGGGCCGACAGGTGCCTGGGGAAAGATGGAATCTGCATTCCTTGAAGGCTAAGGTGGGGTTGCTCCCCCGGCTTCTAGCTCAGCTAGTGACTTCCTCCCTAGTTGCTAATTAAATCGGGTAAAGTGACTTCCTCCCTAGTTGCTAATTAAATCGGGTAATAGAAGCTAACGTGCTTAGGGAATTCTAAAGCTCCAGACAATGCTGGGTGCTGTCCTTGTTCTGGTTTTCCGGGATTGGCAAAACAGTCCGTATTTAGTATTTATTAGGCGTCCCCCCCTTGCTCCTCCTTCCCCATCCCCCCTCCCCTCCTTCATCCAGGGGTGGTAGCGGTTTTCCTTGATCTAAGCTGTTCCAAGGCAAGGAGGTGGGGGGTGGGCTCCCTTCCTTCCTCTTGAGATTGTCAGCTCCTTTTCTTTTGGGGCATCTTTGGATGCGTTCTGTCTTTCCCTAGAATACTTGCAAGGAAAAGAGACTAATTCCCAGCATCTGGCTGAATGAAAATAATTACATCTGAACTGCTTTGCTTCTGAGTTCCAGCTCTGCATTCAGTGGGAGGATCAAAGGAAGAGGGTGGAGTCTAAGGGGTGGTTTTTTTTTTTTTTTTCTTTCCCTTACCAGAGCAGGGCTTTCTGCTCAAGTGAATGCATTCTGCCTAAGTAGACAAACCCTCCCTCCATCCACAGTTACCGTGTGGGCGGTTGGGGACGAGCGAAGGACCGGAGTGGACTCCCGTGGGTCGCCAGCACGCTTCGATAGGTTATGCAAAAAGCCTCGCTCATCGAGATTTTAAATACCAAGAAAGTTGCAACAATCAGAATTTGATCCAAAATATTATTCAGTGATACTTGATGTTGACAATGATGAGCTTAAGCTCCTGAAGGGCCTCTGAGTCATCAAAGATTTAATTATGTTCAGCAGTAAAACCGTCATTATTCCCTGTCATACTGACCAACATTTGCATAGTCCGCACAGTTGGCCCGAGCCCCTTGTGTTCACAGTCTATTTGATCCTCACCACAGGGCTGGGAGATGGGGAGGGGTGAGTGCCCCCAGCCCACAGATGCAGAGAGGTTGAAGTGCCAGCCTCAGATGGCTGAGCTGTGGACTCCTAATCCTCAGAGAGTACTTCCCTCACCCACAGTGAAGCCATAAGCTTTACGGTACATGGAAGAGCCGTGGGCTTTGTGATCTTTGTGGGGCAGGAATCTTCAGCGGCCGTGGTCAGTGGCTGGGCTTCTAGAGAGTTCTTGGCCAGATAGTGCATCTTCACTGCCTCCCAGTCAGGTCCCTATATACACTGGCAAGAAGGCAGCTCACCTCTCACAAGCCAGGGGAGTCAAAGCTTTTCACTTGTAGCTGCCCCAACCCCCCCGCCTTAGGTATCACCAGCTTGCTCATGTGTTCATTCGTTTTAGCAAATATGTCTTGGGTCAGTTCTTGCCCCCCCTCCCAGAGTTTCCAATTTAGTGTGAGAGACAGAAATGCCAACCAGCAATCACGGTACAGCAGGGGTCCTTAACTTCATCAGACCCATTGCCTCTTTTTTTAGTAGCAGGTATTTTATAGCACTCTTTACTATCCTGAAGGAAAATCCATGGATAATACCATATAAGAGGCCCAAATACATACAGGTGAAGGAATAAGCCTGTGCAGCTACCTGGAAGAAGATGGGTCCAGGCAAAGAGAACAGCTTGTGCAAAGGCCCTGGGGCAAGGAGATAGTGATGGGTGACACTGGAGAGGTGAGAGAGTAGGTGGGGTGGGAGGCTAGATGGTGCGGGACCTTGTAGCGGGCCTGCTTAGCAGGTTTGAATCTTGATAAAGTCAGAACTCTCACTGTTCTCAGGACAGACATCAGGGAGAGCCCAGTGTTTCCATGTGGGAACCTAGGGAAGAGTCCTGGGAGAAAGGGAGAAAGATAAGGAGAAAGAGGTAAGGTGAAGCGGGGGAAGCGGTGAAGCTTTTCTGAGACTCAGAAGCATGCAGGTTGGTATTTGGGAAAGACGTGTGTTGTGGCACAGATGCGTGATCCACGACGAGCAGACACACACCACCCTTTTACAAGTTAGCTGGTAATTTTTTTTTTGGTCTTAGAAATCATCCCTCTGGTTTAAACAAAACAAAACAAAAACAAAAACATTTTTTCCTGATGCTAAAAAATAACATGTTCATAGTGGACATGACAGAAAATACAAAGAGATAATCATTGTTCACATTTTGGTGCATTTGCTGCATTTCCTCCTTTCTTCTAGGTGTTTCTGTGTATGGTTTTTTTCTTCTAATTAGTAGAATGTGGTATCCAGATTTATGTTCCCATGTCATTAGATATTCTTTGAAAACGTATTTAATAGCTATATATTATGCCTCCATTATATGGATGGCCATAATTTATTAAATCTATTCTCTTATAGGAAACAGTATCATTCACACTGCCGTGAATATCTGCTCCTAGCCAAATCATTCCATTTTTCTTTTGAACTTTAGTTGATGGATTTTGGTTAGTATCCCAGACACATAGGCTCCATGCGTGGGAGGGAAAACGGCCAATCTGGGGTTTACAGCGTCTGAATGACCAAATCAACAGATGCACAGCTGATGAGATTATTTGAGAAGTCAGTCATTAAGACTGCAGAGAAAACCCAGCTTGACCCCCACGTGGTCATTACAGTCAATGTGTAGTGACAGGCCTGATCTCCTAGACCAACTCCCACACCCACCATCTGTGTTCAAATCAGCTCTAACCTACAGGGTCTTTGTGGATATCCCAAAACGCCTGCACCCCAGGCCCCCTGCTTCTGCAGTCTTATCCTGGTA